AGCCCTCCCTACGCCATCTGCTGCATCGCCTTCGCCGCGCGCGGGACGAGGAGTATAGGTGTCATCCGTCGGGGACGGCACCATCCATCCTGCGCCCATCCACGAGCGGGTGCGCGGGTGCGCTGCACGCTCCAGGTCGTCGCGCGCAGACCCGTAATCATCGCGAAGTAAAGGACGAGCAGCGGCAGCGGTAGGAGGAGAACGACAGCGTGATGTACCACCGTTACATCACTTCGCCCTCACGGGCGCGATCCACTACCTCGACATCTTCGACAGTGTCCTCCGGCTGCACAGAGCGACCACCTCAACATCATCAAAGGCGTGCTCCCGCTACACCTACGGGCCTCGCTCGACAACGTTTCGTCTACCCCGCCCACACGCCGCACCGCCCAGAAAATGCGAGTCGACATCGAACGACATCGACACCGCCCACCACCACCACCAGCACCCTCCACCGCGGACGAAGCACGAGCTACTACGTCGACGCCGCACACCGCTCCGAGTGAGGATGCACGTCTCGCCCGAGCTTCCGGCCACGACATGCACCCGCGCATATCTCCGTCCACAACAACGCAGAGGATCCGCGTCATGATGACATCCCCCGCCTGCCACTCTTTCCTCCCAAAATCCAAAAAAAAACCCCAAGTGATAATCATGTTCGAAGAGGAAGAGCAAGAACAGGACGAAGAGGAAGAGGGAAGAAAGAACGCACCTAAACGCCGGATGATGCGTCTCCAACAGCGGGCGGAGACACTTGTGGTGGAACGCGTGGCTGTAGGGCGCGATGAAGAGCGCCTGGCGGATGGAGACGGGGAAGAGGCCTGTGTGCGTGCGCGTTAGCGTCGATCATCGGGAGGGGAAATGCGTCGACGGATAACGAAGGACAGCAAAGTAAAGTAAAATGAAAATGAGAACGACGATGAATGTTAGAAACGCGGAGCGCGTACGTGGAGGTACAGGTCAGGGAAAGCGGGTGGCCACCGGGCGCACGGTCCAGACGATCCCGAGTGTAGCGCGCTGTATGTAGGCCTGCGCGAGCTCCAAAGTACGCGCGCCAGAGTCAAAAAAAGGTAGCGCTAGCAAGATCTGCCCGTGCGTCGGCCTCGTCCGCACAATCGCGAGCCCAGCACGAACCCAGAGTACGCGCACTCAAGTCGAAAATAGCTGGCACAAGCACTCACAGATACAACAATCTGGAATGCCCCCCCGGACCGCCCGCCCAAAGGAAGAAAAGATAAAAGCAGGCAGGCAGGCAGGCCAGAAAATCTGCATATGCGCGGCCGCGAGCGAGCAGCTGCACCACCGCACCGCCGCCGCCGCCGCCGCGCAGAGGCAGACAACTGCCGCGCGAGAAAAGGAAATGAGATGCAAAGGAGAGCGGAATCCGAGTGCCCGAGTACCCGAGTGAACGCTTCGACGCCACGGGCGGATGGAAACGGAAGGCAGAGGCACCGCCCGCCCGAAGCAAGAACGCAAGACGGTCATCGCGCCCGGAAAAACAAATAAAAGAAATCAAAGCAGGGCTACGAGACCCCTGCCCGTAAAAACAAGAAGGGAGGGAGGGCATCCGCGAAGAAACGCTACTCGTGCTGCCCTCCGCCGTAAGCGGGCGCGGCCGCACCGCACCGTCGGAAAGACGCAAGCGTGCGCCACGCCAAAAAAAAAAGAAAATGCCACCGCCCGCCAAAAAGAAGGGCGGGATCGCAAGCGGCAACGCAACAAAAAATGGCGCGGAAGTAAAAGAAGGAGAAGAAAGAAAGAGAAAAATACGAAAACTCACCCTCCTCACACCACACCTCGGCATGCGCCCTGCTGACGACCTTGCTCTTGAAGGCGATCTTGGAGCCGTTGAGGGCGTTGACGGCTGCGAGGCCGAGGCCGGAGCGGTCTGTGAATCGACCTAGATGAACGAGGGGGGTTAGTACATGTTGTTATTGAGTAGTAGAAGAAAAAAGTAAAGGGGATTGGGGAAGGAAAGCAAAAAGCACGCACCGATCCTCAACGCGGGATCCAACGGCACGGGCCTCAAATCGCGGCTGATAGGGTCGAAGCGCAGACTGCGCCGCGAGTCGAGGTGCGGAACCAGGCGGATGCGGTGCGTTTGCCCCCCTCCTGCGCCTCCACCACCACTCGTATTCCCACCAGAAGCAGCAGGAGGCCCCGTCCGACTCGCCGTGATAGGCGGCGTCGGCGTCGGCGGCACCCCGCCCGGAGCAGGCGTAGCCACATTCCCCGCACTCCGCCGCCGCTTCAACATGTGGCTCAGATTCAATCCCCCACCGGAGGATTGGTTCGACGGGGAGGGCGCGACGACGACGGCGGGCGGCGCGGGCCGGCGGCGATTGCTCCCCCCTCCATTACCGTTCCCGTTCCCACCCCCTCCTCCTTGTTGTGCGGTACCGGCGTTGAAGGGCGCGCCCGCACTGCCGCTGAACGCCGGGATGCCCAATCCGCTGGCCGCGACGCTGGCTGCATTCGCGTTTGCGCGGTCGCGGGCATCACGAGCATCGCGCTCGTGCGCAGCGAGGCCTGCGAAAGGGTTCATCGCGCCCAAACCGTGGTGGGCATGGGGCGAGCTGTGCGATGGCGGGGACGGCGAGCGATTGAGTGCGGGGACGTCGATGTGGGACTGGGAGGAGTTGCGGGGGCGGCCGCGGCCGAGGAAGGAGCCGAGGATGCCACCGGTGGAGGTCGAGGTGGCGGGAGGGGGCAGGCGTGCGTCGGGCGTGGGCGAGTCCATCTTGAGCCAAGCTAAGCTAGGTTGTTATCTTGCCACTGGGTCTAGTTCAATCCAATCCACCACAAGGATAGCACAAGTACGAGTCAAGGCACAGAAGAAAGTACAAGAGGCGGAGTGAGATGGACGACGATGATGGCGGGCGTTGTGGGGAGGGCGTCACAAGCAAGTCACAACAACAGATGGGAGGATGCCTAAAAGGGTTGATTATCACCAGGAGCCTCAGGAAGGTCCGTGTCACTGTACCGGGAGACGTGAGGGGTATTTAATTGAGATATGTGTTTTTTCGGGTTTCATCCTTTTGTGGTGATTCGTTTTGTTGGCAGCGCCGACAGCAGCGGGTCTCCGAGGTGTAGGCATCTGTGGACATGCAGGGACATGCACCATTTTCGCTGTTGACGTGCATTCCGTTACTGCGTTCGTTGATCATCTCTGCTGCCCATTTTTTTGTGGAAAAAAATTGGTGTCCACCATTTTGCGACTTGTATGCGGATGCCAGGAATCGAACCTGGTTCTACTGTCTGCAAACACCTCCTAACCTCAAAGGGGACAGCCGTGTACCATACACCACACCCGTTTCCCTGCCTCCTTTAAAGCCTCGGCTAAGCACCACAAATTTTCCATCCAGTCAAGAACAAAGATTGTCTCGGGATCAATGAAAAGCTCTCGATCATGGAACCAGTCCGGATCCTGCCAGTGTTATGTTGAAGACCCACCCACTTCTCCTTCCCCGTCTCTAGGCGGCCGAAAGAGCTGGTCAGTGCGGGCAGTAAACAAAACAAAAAACGCTCCGGCACAAATTATGTTGGTGCCAGGAATCGAACCTGGTTCTGCTGTCTGCAGAACGTAGGCCACCGCAGGGAGGACAGCTGTGGACCATACACCACACCCACTTTCCTGCATACTTCCAAGCCTCGGCTAAGCACCACAAATTCTTCACCCAGTCAACAACAAAGAATTGTTTTCCCGATCTAAAGGCTCTCAGGCTCAATTATGGACCAAGTCCTGTGGGTGTTACATCGACGGTTGGACCCACCGACTTCTCCTTCCACATTTCAGGACACAACAAAAGAGCCGGTCTGTGTGGGCAGTAAAACAAAAAAAAACCAACCGTCAAGCAAATCATGTGGGTGCCAGGAATCGAACCCAGTTCTGCTGCCTACAAACATTTTTCGGCCACTTTTATCATTGCAATGGTGACAACCGTGTACCATACACCACACCCGCTTTCCTGCGTACTTGCAACCCAGGTTAGGCACCACGGATGCAGTCAACAATAAAGATTTTTTTCGCGCTCCATCGATCATGAAACCACTGACCAATCCTACCAGTTGTTACACTGAAAGCATGGCCCATCCACTTCTCCTTCCCTGGACTATTTCAGGACACCACAAATAATGGGTAAGTAGGTTAGAAAAATTGTGTTGTGAATACACTGCCCAAGAAGGACAGCCGTGTGCCATGCACCACACCCACTTTCCTGCCTACTTCCAAGCCTGGTAGGGCACCACTGATTTTCCACCCAGTTAACAACAAATCTCAATCACGGGTCAGGTCCTGCCAGTGTTATGTTGAAAGCATGACCCACCCACTTCTCTTTTCCTGTTTTAAGAGGCAACAAAGGAACCAATCAGGGTGGGAGGTAAAATATCCTTACTTACCACCCATGTGGGTGCCAGGGATCAAACCCGGTTCTGCTGCCTGCAAACACGGGGTGTAAGCCACCACAGGGAGGACAGCCATGTATCATATACCACACTCGCTTTCCTGCATACTTGCAAGCCTGGTGAGGCACCACATATTTTTGGACCGAGCCAACTGGGCGATGAATGAAACCAGTCCTGCCAGTGTTATGTTGAAAGTTTAGCCCACCTGCTTCTCCTTCACCATCTTAAGACACCCCGAAAGAGCCAGTTAGTGTGGGCAGTAAACAAAAAACAAAGATGCAAACACTTTCACCATGTGGGTGCCAGGAATCGAACCCAGTTCTGCTATCTGCAAATATCATCACGGTTTCAAAGGAGACAGCTGTGTACCATACACCACACCTACTTTCCTGCATACTTGCAACCTTGGTTAGGCATCACATATTTTCCACCGAGTCAACAATCAAGAATTGTTTTTGTGATCTGAAGCCTCTGAATTATGGACCAAGTCCTGCCAGTGTTACATGTACGTTGAAAGTTGAACCCACTTCTCTTTCCCCGGACACAACAAAATAACTGGTGAGCAGACAAAAGATATCTTTCAAGTTCCGGAAATATGTGGGTGCCAGGAATCGAACCCGGTTCTGCTGCCTACAAATTTCGGAATACTTTACAAACAAGGACAGCCGTGTACCATACACCACACCCGCTTTCCTGCTTACTTCCAATACAGCTTAGGCCCTGCACAATTTTCCACTCTGTACAAAGCTGAAATGGAAAGGCATGAAGTGGAAGCATTGAATGATTTCAACCATGTGCCTTGTGAGGACTAGAATTGAAATGTGGATGTTCCTAACCCCCATTCAAGGAGGTAAACCCCAGAAGGCCTTTCATCGCAAAAAGAATGAAATGAGCACAGAAATGTGGGTGCCAGGAATCGAACCTGGTTCTGCTGCCTACAAACAATTTTTCGCCCTGCCCATTGGCGACAACCGTGTACCATACACTACACCCACTTTCCTGCCTCCTTTCAAACGTTGCCTAACCACATATTTTTCACCCAGTCAACGGGATTGTTTTTGGGATCCATGAAAACTTTCAATCATGGACCAAGTCCGGCCAGCAGATGTGGGTGCCAGGAATCGAACCTGGTTCTACTGTCTGCAGAGTGTCGGGACCTCAAACAGCTGTGTACCATACACCACACCCGCTTTCCTGCCTACATTCAAGCCTGGTGAGGCGCTACATATTTCCACGCAGTCAACAAGGATTTTTCCCCAATAATGAAGGCCAGTCCTACCAGTGTTATGTTGAAGGTTAAACCCACCCAGTTCTCCTTCTCCTTCCCGTTGTAGGAGGCAAACAAAAGAACCAGTCCATGTGGGAGGTAAAAGCGAAAGCTGCAGATAATGTGGGTGCCAGGAATTGAACCCGGTTCTGCCGTCTACAAGCTCATTGATCACCGGTGTAGGAAGGACAGCTATGTATGTACCATACACCACACCCACTTTTCTACCTACTTCTAATCTCATTTAAGACCTGCACAATTTTTGGTCAATCTGCGGGATTGCTGTTGAAATTCCGGAGACCTATTAAGTGGAAGGTAGGTTCAACTGTTTGCCTTGTCAGGACCAATTGATATTCCACAGACGAGACCACAGGAATACTTACTTTACGAGGGGAAAAAAACTCATAACGAGACCTGTTATGTGGGAGCCAGGAATCGAACCCGGTTCTGCTGCCTGCAAACACCAGGTCTCGAAACTGCCAGCAGGAACAACGGCCATGTACCATACACCACACCCACTTTCCTGCCTCCTTTCAATATTGCTTGACCCTGCACATTTTTTACTCTGCACAAAGAGCCGGTCTGTGTGGGAGGTGAAAGAAATACATACAGTACTATCGGATGTGGTGCCAGGAATCGAACCCGGTTCTGCTGTCTGCACACATTTTTTGTCACACACTGCGCAACGGCAACAGCTGTGTACCATACACCACACCCACTTTCCTGCCTACTTCCAACCTTGGTCAGGTGTCATATATTTTTTCCCCAGCTAATCAAGTAGTATTCAAGTTGTTCCACTCAATCTAACCTCTCAATCATGGACCAAGTCCTACCAGTATTATGTTGAAGATTAGACCCACCCACTCCTCCTTCCTCCTCTCAAGTTGCACCGAAAGAACTGGTCGTGTGGGAGGTGAAAAAAAACGCTGTTCAGGACAAATTATGTGGGTGCCAGGAATTGAACCTGGTTCTACTGCCTGCAAACTTCACATTCGTGTTGACCCAGGGAAGGCAGCTGTGTACCATACACCGCACCCACTTTCCTGCCTCCTTTAAAGCCTTGGCTAGCTATCACATTTGTCCCCACCAGCTGATCAATGTTCTGAATCATGGACCGCGTCCTACTAGGTGGGCAATGAACAAAACAAAAAACACTCCGACACAAATTATGTGGATGCCAGGGATCGAACCCGGTTCTGCTGCTTACAAACATTCTTAATTATTGTGCAACTGCGACAGCCGTGTACCATACACCACACCCACTTTCCTGCCTACATTCGACTCTTGGCTAGGGATCACACATTTTTCACCCAGTCAACAAGGATTGTTTTCACAATCAATGAAAGATTTGAATCATGGACCACGTCCTGCCAGTGTTGTGTTGAAACTTAGACCCACCATTTGTCCTTCTGCATTTCAGGACACAACGAAAGAGCTGGTCTGCCTGAGAGGCAAAAAAAAAACACTCGGACGAAATTATGTGGGTGCCAGGAATCGAACCTGGTTCTGCTATTTGCAAACATTTCTTGCTCCTGAACAAGGAGGACAGCCATGTGCCATACACCACACCCACTTCCTACCTACTTCCAAGCATGATGAGGTACTACGTACTTTCTGTAGACACTATCATACACCACACCCGCTTTCCTGCCTCCTTCTAACCTCATTTAAGACGTACACTTTTCTCTACACAAAGGCTGAAATTGAGACCCGTCAAGTGAATAATTTCAATCTTTCAACTACATGTCTTCGGAGGTCAAAATTGAAATGTAGATGTTCTGGAGCTATATTCAGCGGGATAAACCCCTCAAAGCCTTCTATCACCAAAGAAAAGGAGATGGGCTTCGAAATGTGGATGCCAGGAGTCGAACCTCGTTCTGCTGTCTGCAAACTTTGACTCACCTCGCACACCTCAAAGGAGACAGCCGTATGCCATACACCACATCCGCTTTGCCTGCTTACATTCAATGCAGCCTAACCCATTGTCCAAACAAACCCGATTTGAGCCCCATGAAGCAGAAGGGGTCATCAACTGCTTCCGAAAGTAATTTTATAAATACCTTAGGTTACAAAAACTTTTGCAGTATTGCTGCATGTGTGTAATGTGGGCGCCAGGAATAGAACCTGGTTCTGCAACCTACAACCTTTTTGTCAGCCCTTACGAAATAAGGGCAGCTGTACCATACACCACACCCACTTTCCTGGGTACTTTTACACTGCTCAAGCCCTGAACAATTTTGCCTATGGACCAAAGCTCAAACTCAGAGCTTGTAATTTCCCTCATTTGCTGTAGGGGAGTAAGAACGGAAACACAGCTGTTCCTGGTCACTTATCTGCGGGGGTCAACACCAAAACACCTTACCATGAAAAAATAAAAGTAAAATAAAGACATAAAGTGTCATGTGGATGCCAGGAATCGAACCTGGTTCTGCTGCCTGCAAACATCATCGACCCAGGGAAGGCAGCTATGCACCAGACAACACACCCACTTTCCTACCTATTTCCAAGCCTTGGCTAGCTATCACATTTTTTCCCTCATTGATCAAGGCTCTTTTATCTCCCAATCAATATGAAGGCTCTCAATCATGGACCAACTCCTGCCAGTGCTATGTTGCAAAATAGACCCACCCATTTCTCATTCCACATTTCAGGAATCAGGACACAACAAAAGAACCAATTAGTGTGGGAGGTGAAAGAAAACTTACCACCGATGTGGGTGCTAGGAATTGAATTCAGTTCTGCTGCCTGCAAATTTCCCATTCAACTTAACACCGGGAAGGCAGCTGTGTACCATACACCACACCCGCTTCCTGCTTACTTCCAGCGCTGCTCATACCCTGCACAATTTTCCACTCTGCACAAAGCTGAACTTTGATATGAAGAAGTGGCATAATTTTCAGCATACTGAATGCAGAAAGCCAAACTTTCAGAGATTCATCAAGTGCGCCGGTCCGCTCAAGACATGTTCGACCTTCAACATGACTTCAACCATACCTCGTAAATCCATTCATCTTTCATCGCATCATCTTCCATTGACCTTTCATCGAATCATCAATGTACAGTGATTAACCGGGAAGCGCAACATAACGTAGAAGCGCAACGGCGGTTATTTAACGCCATTCGGTGATGCGAGATGTCCAAGAATTGACAGGGACGTACTACGGTATCGAATTAAGCGGCCTACGACAAGTTTGGACCAAAAGGTCCCCATGTAGCTCGAAATCGGGACATGTTGAATCAGCGATCAGAAAGTTGCTGATTGTCGTAAAAGCACCTTACCGTTTTTTTACTGTGAAGTGCACGGAGAAGAAGGTCCAAGTGCATACATAAGTTTTTTAGGTCACTGAAGACACCCATGTCAACGGCCAGTCTAAAAATGTATTCTGGTGTTCTCAACTGTGGACCGTAATTTGTTGCACTTCTACATTATTTGGGTCAATTTGGCCTCCAAGAAAGACTGATCTGCAGTGGGACCGCAACCAGTCCGATTCCCCAGCTGTAAGTCGGAGACTTTAATTCATGTCCTCAAGCTCCAGCTGACACTTTGGACAGAGTGATTTGGATCATTGTTGGCTGAGGTTGAGGTGAAACAATCTAATCGTTGCGCTTCCCGGTTAATTACTGTATATTCGACCTCGACTTCAATCTACCTCCACCTGAAGACTCAACAATCCTCCTTTGACTACAGGTATGATTCACTGTTGCCATCTACAATATATTTTCAACCTGATCTTCGATCTTCACGTTCATATCACTCAAGTACCACTCGCCTTTCCTATGACCTTATTTTTCATCAAATATTTGAGCTTTAGTTCGGAACTTTACTCCGAAGTTGACCTGGCTAAGCGAACATGACAGGTCATCGGAACTTTGTACCCGAAGTACCAAACTTTTGTGAACATGTACTTGTAGGCACTACCCGAACCTCTTGCGAACCTTTGGTGCGCTTAATATGACCGGTGGTCAGGGAATTATTGATCTGGTGGTTCACTTACCGGGCTGTGGTTTCTTTAGCGAGACACAGCTACCAGATTGGGTTACTTCGTGGTTCGGCTAAACCGGCCACTGATCGCCAACTGACTTGAGCTCAGTTCAAAATATTCTGCATATATATACCCATGAAAGTACTCTTTTTTTCACTGTCTCTCCCACACACTCTCTATCCCAGTATCTCTGCACCTACCACTCACTGTATGTCTCCGTACTTTACCTCAGTGCGACTCTGTTATTCATTCAAACCCATAGTCTTTCGCCTATCAAATTTTGTGCAACATACTTGTGGTTAAACTCCCAAATACTAACACCTCTGTAGGGAAAGCAATTCAATGGACAACCAAAACCTCATGAACCTCTTCATGCAATTCCTTGCAAACAATACCTCAGGACTGCTAACTGCTGTTGCTCCTGGGCAGGCTTCTCGGCCTGCAGCCCCAAAGCCAGCTCCGACTGCTTCTCAGCCAGCTCTTCCTCCTCAAGCCAGCCATCGCTCTGTGGAAGCACAGGTCCGTCTGCTGGTAGACAGAAAATGAGGGTCGGTCGTCCGGATATAGGGTCCAAGGGTGAAGTAGAAATGAGTGGGGTGGTCCCAGGAAAGTCGGCAAAGTGTAGAGCGAAGAATGAGTGGAAAAGGGGTAAAGTGCCGTGCAGGCGTGGAGTACTCGTAAAACAAGGAAAGGCTCGGTGAGGGGGATAATGTCGGCTAGGTGTAGAATGTGTTCACTGGCGACATAGCCTCGGTGGGCTACTCAGGTCACTGGTCGCGTCATAGATGGTGGTTCTGGTGTAAGGAGCATATATTTGGCTGTGTGTGTGTACAAAACAAATCATTGGTCCATAGACCGATGTACCATGTAGTACGTACAGAGATACAAAAAAAGGGAATGGCAACGAGCGGTCCACCCTACTCTTCAACAGCTCTCTGCTCAGCCTGCTGTCCCCCCGATTCAACCCTACCAAAGTTTTCGGGTCGCTCCATCATCGCTCTCAGTGCAGTTCCCCCCTTTGTCTCCCCTCTCATCTTCCTCATCTTTGAGTCTGAATTCAGTCATAAACCAGGCTCATCTTACTCACTCTGCTTCCTCACAACCTCGCCAGCCCAACCTCCCTCGTTGTCGGGCTCGTTCTACCAATTTTGTGCTTAATTTTTTGTCCCTCTATTATTCTTTAATCTCTTTTTCATCGACTCAGTTTACACTGGCTGTAACTTCCAGGACGCCCTCATAAATGTGATATTTTTGTGTTTCCCTTTCAGCATTGATACTAGGCTTGATCTGTCTGCTCCTGTTCTATGCCCTGTTGGTCTAGAGGTTTTATGTCCCTAACTCTGTTCAAGGTTGGCGATGGGGAGCCACATCGCCGTACACCCCTGGTTGTAGGGATTAGAATGATGGCATGGTGCTAGCCAACGGAATCATTGTCCATGCGCATGGCGCCAGCCAGTATGGCTGGCTCCATGCCAATCACCCTAAATACCCTCTATAACTACCTTAAGCGGAACACACACTTATAACAGCTGTAGCAGCTTGTAACGGCTAATATTAATAATATCCTTGATGTGCTCGGCTACCAGTAAACCTCTCGAAAGGCTTTTTGCACTCGGCTATCCATAGACCCCCCTCCTCATGGCCTGATCGGGCAATTATCTCCTCATATTCTCAACGTCATTGGTCACCTGCAACATCATTGCCATTCAAAAATAGATTAACTATTGAAAAAACTCGCAAGGTCCGCCTCCTCGTCCTCTGCCGCCGCTTCAAGTGCCACCAGTCTCTGCGCCGCTGTAAGTACCGGCATATTCCACTTTACCTTGAAAAACTGCGCCAGACGCTCGTGCAAATCAGCCTGCTGTAACGCGTACGCGCGTATGCCAGCAGCAATGTCGGGTGATAGATTGTCCTCCCGACGCGCAGTTCCGGTTGGCAACATTCTGCCATCGGGTGATTCTCTTGTCATTGGTTAGGCCAGCCGCTACCGTAGGAGTCAGCTCGACCGTAGGAGGTTTCTACCGTAGAGTTCTATTATCTTGTATCTTGTCCGGATTAGCCCGACTGTCCAACGGTATAAGCCTTTCCTGAGTGCTTACTGTAGGTAGGGTTGCTACCACCGAGTTTGCACAGCCACGGTTAACCGTCGGGCCAATTGGCTAGAAATAGACCAGACCGGCCGCCAGGTCCTCGGCTCCTACCGTTGAAGGTAGTCCAGCCGTTAAGAGGTTCTGACCGTAAGAAACCTATTTATCATATATCTTATCCAAATATAGCCCT